TCAAGGCCTAACATTTTTGGGATGCTAGGTCCGCATATGTCTATGTCAAGAAGGCCGACCTGATAGTTCATCTCAGCAAGGGCAAAAGAGAGTTGGGCTGAAAAGGTACTCTTCCCGACACCACCCTTTCCAGACAACACCAGTATCTTATGTTTCACAGTATTCATTCGCTCAATGATGGCAAGCAGGTCTGAAAATGAAACAACTCAACTTAGCATTGTCTCGCCAAGAATAAAAATACTAGAGATGAAAGAACAATAAGATATTATGGATACACAAACAATCGCATAAGATATGAACTGCATTTTATAAGTATAATCATGCTAAAGGCCACATATGATATGATGCATGCCCACGTAAAAAGGAAACAGTCACGGGTAATGCGGCTTCGGTGTGCTTGTGGGACCTCAGATTCAAAGTTCTTATAGCTAGGTCAAAAAATAACAGCTGACATAGCACCAGCACCACATACACAATTAACTGAATTTGTGTACATGTATGATAATCTAAATGCAGCAGTAGGGTTCTTCAAGTACTTTTTTTCTGAGATAGCACTTCTTCATGTGATCAAATTGAGCTGGGTTGACTAACCGGTACAAGATGTAACAAGAACACCCTCATCCGGCATATAAACAGTACCTGAGAGTCAATGAACCAACTGTAGAATCTTTCAGTTTCAGGTAGTAACTCATATTTTTCTAGTGCATATCAGACCGCTATTTATGTACCATCTTAACTTCTTCAACATCATGGAATTTATGGTCAGGGATACTAAAATAACTTGTACTTAGAGAAAGCATGCAAATTCGCTCACATGGTGAGTTCATGACGACAAAACTGTAACATCTTGTCACGAGCTCAACACAATGCAAACACAATCGCAAAGCGATACTCACACAAGTGCGGACCATACTCTCTACTAAGCTCGTACTCGGCTGCAACAGCAAAAAATCCTGGCCAGCAGCAAGCATCGGCGCAACATGCTAGTAGCAAGCAAGCCGCACAAAGATCAGACTGGGGAAAAGTAAGGTGCAGAGGGGCAGGGTGGTGCTACCTGGGTCGGGGCCCTTGGGCGCGGTGGCGCAGATCTGCTGGTTGGGGCACCCGGCGCAGGACTCCGCCTTCCCGGCCGCCTCCGACTGCGTCCCGGGGCAATCTGCGGCGGCGAAACACAGAAAATTCATCAGAAACAAGTCTAAAACCCTCAGACACAGTAAACCCTCGCAAGCGAATGGCTGGCCTTACGCTCGTTGGCGTTCTCCGGGACATCGCCGTCGCCATCGCCGCCGTTCGCCATTGCCTCCGATCGCTTCCCCGTCCCCACTCTTCGCTACCGCGGCGGCTGCTCGTGCGGCTGTTGGATAAATTCCACCTGGTTCGTATACTTTTTTATGGACGCTTTTGCCCCTGCACCGAAGGAAGGCTGGTTGTGTTGGACCCAGAGTCCCAGACCGAGACCTCTCGTCCCGTCCCGAACCCAGACGGAACCAGGTCCATCCCCAAGCGGAGACCTAGCCATGGCAGCTTCTCCGCAGGCGGCGGCCGCCGGCCGCCACGTGCTGGGCCGCGGGGCCGCGCCGCCACGGCCGAGGCTTCGCTCGGCTCTACCGGCGTCGTCGCTCGCGCTCCCGCAACGCGCAGGTGAGTGAGCGACCCACCCCCGCCACTGCTCGGCCCGCTGCACTATGGTTTCACCTTCAGTGTCACCCTCAACCCTCACGCTCCACCAGAGCTTCAGAGCATCGTGAACGACGACATGAATGCTGCTCGCTCCCAAATGCGGAAATTATTTGGGAAATGCTCGCGGTCGTCCGGTCTAGTTTCAGGTTGTTTTTGGATATTGTAGCTTGCTGATTATCGTTCCTAATTTGGTCGCAATCGATTCAGTATGTACTGTCTGTACATGTTGGAATCTGAGTACAAGGCTCATACAGTATCTCCCAACTAGTGGTAGATAAAAAATGGAACAAGATTGCAGGCTGTCATTTTCAGTTATCTAGAGTTTGCTTCGTTCTAGCAGCAACATAAGCTTTGCACTTGTCAGAAATGTTTACTTGTCCCAAGCATGTCTGCTTCCTGGAGCCGGGCAAGGAATAAGCCCTTGGTGGTTGCTTGCGAAATTCCTCCATGCTTTATCCAACAAGTGAGGCAATCTCTTCATATAAGAGAAGCATAACACAAACTCTGTCATGCGTTACACGCACAGTCATTCATAGGTTCACCATTTTTGCGGAGCACTTCCTCTGTATGCTTTCTTAGCACTTCGTATTACTTATCCAAACCGCATCACAATGTTGTCTAACCGTTGAGCAGTTTCTTATTTGTTCAGGTCGCTCCTGCCGATTCCAACGGCATTTTGCTCAACATCGCGTGTGCGGTTAACTCCATCTGCATCCTTGCCGTCAAGACGAAACTTTGAAGGCTATATTCCTCGCAGCTGCTCGCGTTCATCGTTGCAGATCTACACTACCCGGTCATCGCCCCTATCTCTCTCGCCGTCTTCAGCCCTCATGGTGTCGGCCCAGCTTCCCCCGGCTGATGTAGCCCAGCGGTCAGAGGAGTGGTTTGCTCTGCGCAAGGATAAGCTCACCACAAGCACCTTCAGCACTGCCTTGGGTTTCTGGGCCGGCAACAGACGGTCGGAGCTTTGGAGTGAGAAGGTCTTCGGACCAACAGATATCAAGTTGGCGGATGCGGCCATGGCTGCCATGGCCTGGGGAACCAATCATGAAAGCATGGCCGTCGAGCAGTACACAAGAATCACAGGACGGTCAGTGGGTTCCCTTGGCTTCGCAGTGCACACCGAGGCTAAATTGGGGTGGCTCGGAGCTTCACCTGACGGCGTTCTTGGTTGTGACCCCGACGGTGGGATCCTGGAAGTCAAGTGCCCATACAACAAGGGTAAGCCCGAGCTTGCTCTGCCATGGCGTATCGTGCCATACTACTACATGCCGCAGGTGCAGGGGCTGATGGAGATCATGGGCCGAGACTGGGTCGACCTGTACTGCTGGACACCCAACGGGAGCAGCCTTTTCCGAGTGCCTCGGGACCGCGCATACTGGGAGCTCATCCACGACGTGCTGCGCGAGTTCTGGTGGGGCAATGTGATGCCCTCCAGGGAGCTGGTGCTGCTGGGGAAGGAGGCCGAGGCAAGATCCTTCGAGCCGCAGCCCAAGCACCGGCTGACAAATCTAGTGATAGTTAAGAGCAGGAAACTAGCTTCTGAAGCCAAGTTGTTATGTAGGGATGTTGGTGGTCATGTAGAATTCTTCCCATAAGTGTAGTTCTGGCGGTGGTTGTACACTGTATTCTGTTTATTCGTTAAATGAAAATCATGAATTACTTCCAAATGATTGCATTCGATGTCACTTGTTTTTGTGTGGTTATAAAACTATGTGAGATCCTAGGTGATGTGCCCTAGGATCGTTCCACATGTTCTTCAGATTTACTTAAAACTAGTGAAACTAGAAAACAGGTAGCAATGAATCAGGTGGGGGTCATCCAAAGAAACATGCACACACAATTTGCTTCTTACATATGGAATGTAGCCATGACGCATCTTTTTCTCTCTCTAGCGGAAGTCGTCAATGGTTCGATAGTTACCCTGATGATGTAACCCGTGCGGTAACTGGCAATCTTAGATTGCCGTGTCTTAAATGGAATCCGAGTGTTCCATATCAGAAAAAAAAGGCATTTCTGGCCAAAGTGGTCTATAAGAAACAAACAGGTTTCGCATATGAAACAAGGGGTTAGAGGGATGACTCAAGGTACCACCAGATTTCAGTCTTCTCAAAGTGGTGAACTCTGCTTCCCTAGAGGCATGGGCTTCCTTGCTTGATCCCTCTGGCCGCTGCTATGGTTGAGTTGGCCAACACGTTCCCTCGCACGCAAGGCAAGAAAAAGCAGAGCAACGCGACAGGTGCTGCTTGCTTCCGGGACATGGATTCTTGCCGGATGACAATGTGGATTGCTACTCTCGAAAGACAGAATCAACCTACTGCTGGCCGCTTCTCAGCTCTAACGAATCCCTGCTTTGCCTTGCCTGTGGGACAAGCAAGAGGTAGGCGGAGTCGACATGCTTCCCGGACCGATGGAGCTCGCCTCACATTTGTTGCATGACCTCTTCACGGGCTACGTAACCCATATACTCTCGTTGGGTATCATGATCGCCTGCGCAGCGCTTAGATTATTGGGAGCAGAACAAGCAGGGCGAGCTTTGGATGAATCGATCTATTATCAGGCAATCTTGACAAGGGCTTCCCCGAAGTACCGAAAAAATTCATATCTGAAGCATGTTTTCAAGAAACTGCTCAGGTTTTACCAAAAGCTGCCTGCGAGGACGGCCAAGGAGCAGATTTTATCATAACGGGATATCATCACAGATTCACTGTAAACTCCAACTAAACACAACAGATGAAAAAGGATGCTTATATATAGCAACAAAATTGAAGATAGTGATAGTATAGTCAGAAGTCATTGATTTATTTATTTCTATGAAACAAGTTACCAAGTCATACGACACGACGTATCCAGGACAAACTATTACAATGTCACGCATATACAGATATAATATACTTGGAAGCTAAGGAATAAGTTCGTCTTCAGTCTTCTTCACAGGAAGATGCAGCATCAAGCAACACACCGACACCAATCTCACCATGTACCTATACACTCTTGAACTGCAAATTCCATGAAGAAACATCCCTGGAACAAGATAATAATAAAGGAAATGAGTGTCTCCTCATCACCAAACAACTAAACGTTACCAAAAGTAATGCTCCACCCACCTCCTTGTCGCTGGTGAGGCTGTAATAGTGGGAATCATCCCTTTATTTCTGCTGGAATTAGTAACATCTTTTTTTGTTTTTCTTGCAAGCAAATGTACCATCTGTCAAACGACCACACACCTTCATGAATAGCAAACTATATTTTTTTTTCTTCATCAGTAATGCTAAGAAAGATGGCTGAATGGCTGGACATGGACTGTTGCTCCTCCATGTTCAAGGAGAAGGTATTCTTCCACTGGATAAAATGGAGACCAGATCCTTTTCCACACCGAGAGATGGTGAAGCCGGATCGCCTCGACACTTGTAGCAAAGGTAGACCAGATCAAATTTCTCTTCAAACTTCTCATTTCGTTCTAAGCACCTTCCACACTGCCGGCATCTCTTGATGCAAACCTCACATGCTCTGCACTTGCCAGATCTCTTGTCACTGCACTCCGCTTCAGGGCAGTCAAAAACAAGTTTGTAACTTTGACAGATGGGGCACATCTCAATATCAAGAGCATATCCGTCATTGCAATCTAATAAAAAATGATTAGAATGACGGAATCGCGGAGCCCGGTTGTGCAACTCCTGTCTCTTGTCGATGCTCAACAAGGATAATAACTCCTCATAATCCTCTTTTGGTAAATTGAAGTTTTTGTCAATTCTGAGGCACTTAATACCCGACACTGCTTTCATATTAAATGACTTTAGATTGGCAATAAGACCATCCAAAGTTAACCGCGGGCAGCGCGCAATACTCAACTGTTGTAACAAAAAGGAGCAGGTTAGAATCAATCACAAAACAAAAATATTTCTGTTGAATTAAAAATGTATGACCAAAAAGCATATGCAGCATAACGGGAGTCCCCCCTCAAATTGATAGGACAAGTTTTTCATCATGCTGCTTCAACTTTAAACTATTGTGAGGAAGTAAAAACATATACTGATTTTTTAACTAGTTTACCCTCGAGACAATGATCTAGTGGATTTACACTCAAGTGAATAGCATTAGCTAAAAAGAATGAAACCTAACTTTCTTTTTGTTGGTTGTAAACTACTAGAGAAATCGTACTAAAAAAGCCATAGCGAATATTCATGACAGAAAATAACTGGAGAAATCACATTAAAAAACCATAGTGAATATCCATCACAGAAAATACTACCCAGATAGCAAGAGCAAGCAAAACATGGTATGCTCCATATAACATCTACATTCGAATACCCAAAGTATCCTAAGGTGCTGGCCCTAGCTCCATCGGAGGGTGTTGTGTCCGTACGCCACCACCACCTAAGTCAGAGTCATATTCAGCTCGAATTTGGGTTACTTTTTCTATTAGGGTATGCTAATATAGGAAGTACATCAGTGCAATTATGAATATATACAGATTAATTTGTTGCCAAATATGATCCCAGGCCTTCAAGGAATTGAATTATTCTTAGAAATACTTACAAAAAGGATTGTGACCATACTAACCTTTGTTAACCTCAGATTGCTTTGGAGAACAGCATTCAAACCATTGTCGGTGATATTTATGCAGTCATTTATATTTAGACACTGCAAATCACCTGGAATCTTCTGTGTCAGACGTAGAAGATCAGGATCAGTAATCTTCCCACTCAATACCGGTTCAACATGGATACACTTCCACACTAAGGAATGAGTGCGGATCCATGAATGCAAAGACTTGCACACCATCTCTGTAGCTAGGATGTCACGAAGCCCAAGATAGGCAAGAGCATACTTCATCCCGTCATGCGGTGCACTTCCCACGGTATCAACTCCATCACGGCACACCAATGCAGCACTGCCAGAAGGAGATGGGTCCTCTCCGGGTACAATTGGCCATGAGCATGACGCTCCCACGGCATCAACTCCATCACGGCACACCAATGCAGCACTGCCAGAAGTAGATGGATCCTCTCCAGGTACAATTTGCCGTGAGCAGGACGCAAGGGGAGGCAATCCTTGAGAGCAGTTGGCGCCTCCGGCAGCATAAAGGCCTCCAAACCCAAAAGGCCCCTCAAAAGCACGCCTGCAGCCACCCGGGAGGAAAGGTGGCTCCCAGGAGAGCGCAATAGCATGATTCAGGTCCAGGTAATAACTCAAGTCGGCACGAACAGCCGCGCCGCCGTCACTGCTTCCAACAAAACGCCCTGCACCAGACATGACCGTGCGGTCAAGGCAACTGGCGATGGCTGCAGTGATGGTGTTCCCCAAGTTCATCCCGAAGGGATCCGCGGGCAATAGATCCGCAGGGTCCGGCTCGAAATCATCCCAGCGCCTGGAGTTGACCCCTGGGGACGAGAGGGGCGAGGCCTCCTCCGACCAGCATCCACACCCCCGCATCAGGGCAGAGCACTCGTCGCTCACCAAGAATGAGCACGACGGGTAATTGAGCGCCATAATAACCTCCAAACTCCCCTGCGCTCCAATCCTCCTCCTCCTGCTCCAATTCCTCCTCCTCCTCCTCCTCCCCCCCTCTTTTTTTTGGTGTTTTTTTCTATGGAGTATGCACATGCACAAAGAGAACTATAGAAGACGCAACCCTAGATCTCCCTCCCCCCAGCAAGAGAACCCTCTATTCCTGATCCGGGCCAGTCAAAAAATATCCCTAGGACCAAAAACTTCACGGAGCAATCTCGATCGCGGATCCCAAATCAATCCAATAGCGGCGGAGAAACCAGGGGCAGGCAGGGGGGCTCAATAAAAAGACGACAATCTCTACCTTCCGCCCGAACCAGAATCAGAATCAGAATCAGACCCGGAGCCGGAGCAGCGGCGGCGGCGGCCCCATCAAAGGAAACGCAATCCGGGGAGAATCAGGGCCCGAATCAGAGCAATAAACACGGGACCGAAATCCCCACCCAGCGGCGCCGGCGGGAGGCGAGATCCACGAGCCGACGGGGCGGGGGCTCTCGGGAGGGGATTGGCGACTCTGCGGTGGGCGGACGCCTGCGAATGCGGCGGCGGTGGGGTGGGGTGGGGGTGGGCGGATGAGTCGACTGGGATTGTTG